AACCCTGAACCCTAAACCCTTAGAGGAATCCTGAATCCAGCTTTGTGGCTTTCCAAGGAGTTTTGGGACCCTTCGGGCGCTGCCTCTTGCGCCAAAGCCCGGTCGTTGCGCAGCCGAGGAGATGCAAACCTCAGCCGTCATCATCATCGATGTTCATGACCTTTAGTCTTAGGGTTTAGGGTTTAGGGCTGATTATTCGCGCTACAATGCTATCACTGTCATGATTTTTTGCGACTTTTTGTGAGTCTTTATCAGGACAGGAGCTCTGGGAAAGACTGATATTCCTTCAAAGGGGTGAACGATGTCCGCTTGTGCTCGCTCAATACTTGTACAGAGAGAGAGAGAGAGAGAGATATATATATATATATATATATAATATGCGCATTATACACCCCAAACCCCCAACCTAATTCTTATTCTCTTTGCATATCGTAACTTTGCCGAAGATCAGAGCCAACCCCCAACCTCATGGATCAGAGACCTTATCTGAAGTTCCCGGGGGTTGGTGCCATCGCAGCCAGAAAGCTTGAGCGCCAAGGCGGCACCACGGATGGCCTGCCCACCGCAAGCTGCAAGCTTCAACGCTGCTTTCGCCCCACCCGCTCAAGTTCGGGAGTTTTAGACTTGATTAGGCTGCTTGGCCTGCGGGTGAACACTGAAACAGATATCCTGCCATGGATTGCAAATGAGGCAGATGAGGATGGCCATGACGACCTGAAAACTGAAGCCACGGGCTTCAGTGGAGAACTGACCCTAAGGGTCCATGTACCCAAATAGATACACTTTGGTCTTAAAGTAATCCCTATATAAGTACTTTGGGGCCAATGTATTTACTATTTGGGTACATGGACCCACAGGGAAAGCCTCTAAACCTGTGGCACTGCAAGCCTAGTCTGTACGCAAACCATGTTACCGTGCTGACCTCGCATAATGGCCATGGACCTCTGATATAACCTTTTCTGCCTCTGCTAAAGCTGCCCACCCCCAAAACAGACAAACTCTCAAAGACAGCCCTACACCAGTTCTAACTACAAAGTCCTACAAACACTTCGGAAGCCCACCCGCCAATCCCCTGAACCCTAAACCCCCTACACCCCCTAAACCCCTAAACCCCCCTAAACCCCTAAACTCCCTACCCCTCCAGGCCCAAAGGCTCCATGGCCTCCTGGACAACCTCGAAGTCGTCCTGGAACCTTGGTGGCGATGGGGATTCATATAATGAGTATCATACAGTATAATGTAATCTGTAATGTAATGTCTGTAATGTACTGTAATGTAATGTAATAGTGAAATACAATACGTACGATAATGGCAATTGGGAAATGTAGCGGCCAACACAACGAATGGGGCATCGCGCCGTTTCGGGGTATGTGATACTAATTAATGTACGGGAAATTATGGACTACATGGGGATATTGCTACTAATAATGGTTTTTGCTTGACTTCACAGTGTCACTTAAGAATGCATGGTTCTAGTTCAATAGTTGCTAGACTTCACTATACTGGACTAGAAACTGTTCCTTCCCAAGACTACGCTATGCAAAAACACCAGAGCAACTGCTCAATAACGCCCCGGAACAGCGGCAGGCAGTACTTCAGCGCCTGCCAAGGGGGTCTGAGCTCACGGAGTTGTCATGTGTAGAGACCCGAGGGCTTCATGGGCCCAGACTTTCGGGGTTGAATTTTTGAGGGCTTAGGGTATCTGAGGGTTAGGGATTATGGTTTAAGGTTTCGGGTTTTTAGGGGTTTTGAACCCTAAACCCTACTCAAACCATAAACCCTATTATAAGCCCTAAACCGTTTTGGGGGTTCATTTTTAATTAATTATAGGGTTTAAAGTTTGATTTTTGAAGTATGGTGGAGGCTGAGTTTGTGGCTTCGGCTTACAGCATGGGATCCTTCAGCTGCACCAGCTTCGGGTTTAGGGCTTCGGGCTTAGGGTCCGGGGATGTCTAGGGTTTAGGGTCCGGGGGATGTCTAGGGTTTAGGGTTCAGGGTTTAGGGTGTAGGGTTTATAAGGTACCCCGACCTACCTTTTTCTGTAGGTTCTCCTGCTAAACTCAGCTTTAGTACGGACCGTAGAGGCACTCTCCGCCCTACACCCTCAATCCGAAATCCAACGGCTTGAACCGGTCACCTTCACCCTAAACCCTAAACCCTAAACCCTAACATCCGGACATCCCTGAACCCTAAAGCCTCAACCCCAAAAACACATCCTACCCGCTGACCTCCGACATTCCAAAGCGGATCACGGCTTGAATGCTCTGTGTCAAGGTTTAGGGTTTAGGGTTTAGGGGTCACGGCTTGAATGCTCTGTGCCAGGTCTAGGTGCAAGGTATGACATGAGGCTTCAAAGGTCACCTACACCCTAGGAAGAGTTTGTTTACCCTAGTATAGGCTCCATGAACCCAGATAGTAGATACTTAGGCCTTACAGGGGTCCCTATAAGGGTACTTTAAGGCCTAGGTATCTACTATAATGGGCACATGGAGCCTTAGGGTTAGGGTTTAGGTGAGTTTGTTTAGGGTTTACCTTAAGAACCCAAAACCCACTTCTCCGTATGGTCCCTATACATCCCATGTTAGGGTGTATAATAAGAACCTACAAAAAAAGTGGGTTTTGGGTTCTTAAGGTAGTAAACCCTAAACCCTAAACCCTAAACCCTAACCCCTAAACCCTTAAGATAAGACTCCAGGGTCCGTGCCTGCCAATCGCGCTTGACGGCCGCCAGCACTCGGGTGCGGTCCTGAGCCAATGTCACAGAATAGTATCTGGGTAGTAGGGTTTAGGGTTTAGGGTTTAGGGTTTAGGGTTTAGGGCTGGGTAGTTCTCTAAATCAGGGTCCCTTTTAGGGTCCTTTTTATAAGGGTGCCGTACTATATTGGGGACCCAAAAAGGGACCCTAATTTAGAGAACTACCCATCTCGACGTCATTGGTTCACCAAGCTTTCATTGCTGGTCAATCAAAAAGCTATTCTTGCGGAGTGTTCTGATAGCAAAAGAGATGTTGGTGATCATTGCCTACATGCTGCGAACAAAGCTTCCGTCCTTGCTGATGCGATTGGTCTGTCCCGGTTCTGACCGCCAAAGAGAGCAGTTGAATAGTCGGCTCACTTTCTGGGCGTCCTTGCTAAGGCAAACTTCTTGTTTTCTGCATCTGAGCCTTCTCGAATGGTCTTCGTGGGTTGAAGCTCCTTGTCAGACAGAATGCGTATGGGTGCGGTACTACGTACTGTTGCAGCTTTTATCAATGCATTGCTGCTGCTTATAGCTAATCGCCACCGTATCGCCATAGTTTACGG